CTCTTATATATATATATATATATATATATATATATATATATATATATATATATATATATATATATTTATAAAACATTTTATTTAATAATTATTTTTATTTTAGTATATATAAATCAATCCTAAACAAACACTACAAATTTTCTGATTTAAAAGAAAATTCACACAGTGTATCACAAGAGAATTACAGTGATAATGATTTACCTGATGTATGTTTGGAAATATATGTATAAAAATCTATTTATGCTTTCTATAGTGCATTTTCCCCACAGTTCAATTCTTTGGATGGATCTGTGGACAGGGGAAGCCACGAGGGCTCATATCGTATTCAGAATGGCAAACCACTGTGAGTCAAACTTTAAAACACCAGATCATCCAAAATATTTCAATGATTGCAATATTTACAGTGCTTGCATTGCTGCTTATCAATGTCTTTACTCACTGTAAATCATTCTCAGTAATCCACATGGAAGAACTGGGCTAGAGGGCCGAGGATTACTGGGAAGGTGGGGTCCAAACCACGCCGCTGATCCAATAGTTACCAGGTACTAAAATGTGTATCGTAATAAATGGAAACCAACCTTTTACATGTAATCTCTTTCCCATTTGACTGGTTTAACAATTCCATGCATGCAAGGTATTTTGTGTGTAATGTGGCAGGGTTCACATGCTTAAAACCTTCTTGAACACACATTCCAGTTTCCTGTGGTCTCATACATGTGGAAAAGGGACTCTACAAGACAGCGTGTCCACCACACTAACTCTCAACTCCCTGTGCTGCAATTTGTGTCCATCAAGAGGTTGGACTGTGGCGAATGGGCCATCCCAGGGGTGAGTATGAACCTCAGTGCTTGTTTTACATTTTCAGAGTGGTTATTTTGAGTGAGCAGCATCTGTGGGGTGAGCATGTTTAAAATAAATTCTGCTAATATGCAAAAAGATGGTTATATTTGTTGTTGTGTGTTCAGGGAATGGTGGACCCTGGAGAGCGCATTTCTCAAACATTGCAGCGCGAGTTCTCAGAAGAGGCATTGAACTCTCTGCAAGCATCTCCAAGTGAGAGGGAAAAGATCCAAAAGCGAATCACTGAGCTTTTCGACTCAGCAGGTCTTCAGGTAAGACCATGCACTTACGCTTCAAAAGTTTGGAATAATTACGATATTTAAATGCTTTTGAAAGAAGTCTCTTATGCTCACCAAGGCTGCATTTATTTGATTAAAAACAAAGAAAAAACAGTAATATTGTGAGATATTATTATAATTTGAAAATGATCTATTTTAATATATTTTATAATGCATATAAATGTCATAACATTTTGAACCAAGCAGCTTTCTGTTGGTCAACACGGTAAATTTGTTTGACCAAATATAACACAAAGTGAAAACTTTTTCACCCTCACGAAAAACAGATCACGGAGATTCCTGTTGCAATTACTGGATTTCACCAAACGACGGTAAATGTGACTGCATCTTAAGCATTGCAGCACTATATAACACAGCATCTTTTTTCCTATAGGTGTATAAAGGTTATGTAGATGATCCAAGAAACACAGATAATGCTTGGATGGAGACAGTTGCAGTCAATTTCCATGATGAATCAGGTAAAAACAGTGGATTGATTAAACACGTAATAATATTTGGGATGATATGTTATTGGCTTATTGAGTAAAGTAGATTGTTCTATCCCACGTATTTAATTCAATTCTTTACATCTAGGCAATAGTGTGAGTGAGCTTCCATTGCAAGCTGGCGACGACGCAGGTCAAGTGAGCTAGATTGATGTCGACTCCTCCCTGGTCCTTTATGCGAATCACTTGCATTTCCTAGAAACTGTTGCTAAGGAAAGAAATGCCCACTGGTAACAGAAAATAGTAAAAAGTGCTTTCTTCTTTAACAAATGAAGGAAATCTTTTTATGAGTCTAATTTGAATGACGCATAAAAAGATTTGTAGCTTAGATACATCATTCAGACAGAAACTAGGGAAATCCGGCACATATTAATATGAAGTGTGTTGGCGGTTGGCACATACTAATATGAAGTGTGCACTGTTTGCCACAACACTGCTAAAAATTGCATTCCAATAAACCAAATGTTAACCTCAATCTATATGCTTTTTAAATAATGCATGGCTACTAGAAAATTTGAAAATGATCTATTTTAATATATTTTATAATGCATATAAATGTCATAACATTTTGAACCAAGCAGCTTTCTGTTGGTCAACACGGTAAATTTGTTTGACCAAATATAACACAAAGTGAAAACTTTTTCACCCTCACGAAAAACAGATCACGCAGATTCCTGTTGCAATTACTGGATTTCACCAAACGACGGTAAATGTGACTGCATCTTAAGCATTGCAGCACTATATAACACAGCATCTTTTTTCCTATAGGTGTATAAAGGTTATGTAGATGATCCAAGAAACACGGATAATGCTTGGATGGAGACAGTTGCAGTCAATTTCCATGATGAATCAGGTAAAAACAGTGTATTGATGAAACACGTAATAATATTTGGGATGATATGTTATTGGCTTATTGAGTAAAGTAGATTGTTCTATCCCACGTATTTAATTCAATTCTTTACATCTAGGCAATAGTGTGAGTGAGCTTCCATTGCAAGCAGGCGACGACGCAGGTCAAGTGAGCTAGATTGATGTCGACTCCTCCCTGGTCCTTTATGCGAATCACTTGCATTTCCTAGAAACTGTTGCTAAGGAAAGAAATGCCCACTGGTAACAGAAAATAGTAAAAAGTGCTTTCTTCTTTAACAAATGAAGGAAATCTTTTTATGAGTCTAATTTGAATGACGCATAAAAAGATTTGTAGCTTAGATACATCATTCAGACAGAAACTAGGGAAATCCGGCACATATTAATATGAAGTGTGTTGGCGGTTGGCACATACTAATATGAAGTGTGCACTGTTTGCCACAACACTGCTAAAAATTGCATTCCAATAAACCAAATGTTAACCTCAATCTATATGCTTTTTAAATAATGCATGGCTACTAGAAATGGAGGCATACAGATTAAGTTTTCCTGTTACAATGAACTGACCACTACTGCTCGATTAAGAACTTATCTATGACTCTTTCGGTAATAACCAAAAGAAAAAAAATATCTTATACACTTATTCTGTGTGTTGTAGTCTGTTGTGCTACATTTCAATATTTTGAGGAAAATGATTTGGCGTAAAAGTATTTGATACCGTGATTTGATTTCTTTTATTTTGACATACTCAAAAAGCAACTAGAGCAAGAAATATGAGAAAGTGTCAATATGTTTAGTCTGCTCAGTCTGAACATCATGGACATTATGAATTTTCTCAAAGCCGGTTTCTTTTATACTTGTTCAAGGAAATCTCCAGGTTAAAAACAAGTCAATTGGCCCTCATTTTCTTAATGAAATAAATGAAGGTTACAGTGAGGCACTTGAGTCAAATAAGTACTTGCGTTGGTGTTTGCAACAGATTTGATCATGTCAACATTAAAGCTTAAGAGTGACACAAGGGAAATAAATTCTCGATGTTGCTTTTAACCTTGCAAAAATTGCCAAGTATGTGCTCTCAGATTAGGGGACAGAGTTGTTGATGAGGTAGAAAGATCTGTCTCAGAGATTTTCACGATGGCTTCAGTTTTTTTGAATGATTCTGTAGTGACAAAATCATGTTTTTGATCATGATCTTGCCATCTGGTTAACAGTTGTACATATGATTGTTGGTTGTAAGCTCCCATTTAAGAGAACTAATTAAGAGTAAAGAAAAATCCAGTAAGATGACGATATTTCACCACACTGCTTATTTGATCTTACCCTTTTTAAGGAATTATTTTTGTGGCTGCAATGAATATATTACCCGCTGAATGATTTTTTTAGAGCATAAATGTGTTGTGATGGACAAAAACATTGTTTAAGTGCATTTTAAAACAATAAATTATAACTTACATTGTAAAACATTGTGCAATTTCGCCTCACACATCTTTGATCCATTTTAGTTGGCCACTCTGTAACATTAGTAAGATGAAAAACTTTCAGGTTACCAGTAACAGAAAAAATATTATTTACTAGCAATAGGAATACCCATAATCTGCTTAATGTTGGCAATCAAATATCACAATATTTGGACATTAAAATGTTTTTGTAAAATAACAGGTCAGAACCAAATCAGCTTCCAACTTTTATGTGTGCATCAACTAGATTCCATTTTTAAATCTGTGACCATTGAACTCAAAAATATATAGTAACTTTAGTATAGCAAGTTTTCAATGCCTTTAACTGAGCACCTGAAAGTGTTCTCTTTTGTGTATGATCTTGTCTATGACGCCTTGCCATCATGATTTATCACTTACATCTTTACAGCCTATGCTTCAAGATCTTGCAAATCTTTTAGGTTTGATTACAAACATTTTAATCAGTGCTAAATGATTGCGGATATGGACCACCGGCTGTATAAATACAAGCAGCTGCATATTAAAAAATATGCTAGTTTTTGTAGATTTATATATGCAAATATATAAACCCACTTATTTTATTTTTTTTGTTGGAAAAAATATCACCAGTTTGAAAATACAAAACTACCACATAATTATGGACAGTTAAAACCGGTTCAAATACATTTTACAAGATAAATAAAAACATTTGTAAAGAGGAAGGAATGTGAAGGCAATAAATGCTGTAACTGGTCCATTCACAGAATACTGAATGTGCAGATAAAAGTTGGCCAGCACAAACAAAAGAAAAAAAAATCAGTGTATACAGATGTTGTTTCTGATGCTTCCAATTTTTCTCCTGGACTAGAAAAAGTCAAAGGAAGTAGTCAGCCACAGGTTTCTTAGAGGGGATGCCTCTAGTTTCCTGAGGTGCAGCTTCAAATATGATAAACTCCTTCTGGAGATGCTCATCAAGCTCCAAAATGGCTGCCACATTACCACACCTAAGAAATATTCCAAAAGAGTAAATTCATTCATTCAAACCAGCATATTTACATGTTAATGGTCACTGATACACACAAGAGTTACTGGACCACTGTAAGATGAGAAGAAACATACCTATAACAGTAATTTGGAGCAGACCACACCGTTAACACAGTCTCATTGAAATGCCACTTGTAGCCCTCCATCACCAGCTGATGAGCTCTGCAGATCATGCTGATATCATTGGCAGCATTAAACTGTGCCACCACATCACTACCAAACAGATATCCAGCTCCTCTGGGACTCACACCCCACCCTGTGGTGTCTAGAGACAAGAAAAGAGAGGTATTAACAACATATTGATGGCCTTTCCTTTATTGTCGAATATCACATTAGTCTTCTTCACCTTCTGGGTCAGACCACAGCAGGTCACACATGGGTCCATCATGAGGAACTTCCTGTTTTCGGTCAATAGTCCTGATCTGATCCAAAGTTTGAATAGATGGAGAAAGGCCACCATGCACACAAAATATCTGAGGAGCAAAAACAAGTTTATATGTATGATACTTTTATTCAGCATTAAATTAATCAAAAGTGACAAGTTTTACATTCATTCAACAGAGCTGTATTTCAAATAAATGTTGTTCCTTTGAACTTCCTGTTCAAAGAATAGGAAAAACTGTTTTCACAAAAATATGAAGCAGCTGTTTTCATTGATAAGAAACATTTCTTGTGAACCAAATCAGCCTATTAGAAAGATTTCAGAAGAATCATATGAGACTGAAGACTGGAGTAATGGCTGCTAAATAAGGAATAGATTACATTGTTAAAACATTAAAATAGAAAGTGGAAAGATACAGAATTAAGAAGACCTACCTTGCCATCAACAATAGCAGAGAGGGACAAATAGTCAAAGATCTCTGTGCAGTACCTCCAGACCGTAACAGAGCCATATTTTCTGAGACACTCGTCATAAAAGCCATACACTTGCGTGATCTGCCTTGACTCGTGATTCCCTCTGATCAGTGTTATTCGGTCAGGGAATCGCACCTGAAGACATAAATATAAAGGACTATGAATAAGAGCAGACTACAGAGTGTAGAACAGCTTTAACATACACACATTACAAAGCAAACAGGATTAACTTCAGGACAGATACTACACCTTTAATGCTAGAAGCAACAGAAAAGTCTCCACACTATAGAACCCTCTGTCCACAAAGTCTCCCATGAAGAGGTAGTTTGTCTCTGGAACTTCACCCCCCACCTGAAGACCCAGATGAGTCAAACAACACAGCACAATGCATTGTTGTTGTTGTTTTTTTTTTAAGAAACTTGATCTACCAGTCCATACAAGTTCAAAAGTATTGTAAATTTAACAAATGCCATATTGCATTCTCAGTCGCTTACCCTAAATAACTCCTTTAAATCATAAAACTGCCCATGTATATCTCCACAGACCTGAAAAAAAAATAATGAGCTGCTTTCACAATTACACAATCCTATAAAAGGTTATAAAAGGTAATGTATACAGAAATACTCACGGTGACGGGAGAATCTACCCTCTGAACATTACTCTCTTCCACTAGAATCTCCCTATAAAGCAAAACAATGACACTTACAGCATAAGTAAGGTAGCTTTTGAACATTATTTCACAACAAGAAACTGTATAATGATATAAAACTTGAGAACAATCAGCACCAGTCATTTAGATGCACATGGGTTGTGCGTAGCGGAGTAAAACAAATGCATAATGAGAGATCTGCGGCCCGTTCTTCATACGTCGCCAACTCAGTTAGCTGGATTTGATTGTTGACGATTTGGCATGATCTTGGATTGTTTGGTTCTTCGAAGCTCATCCCGGAGTTGCTGTCATAGCAACAGGTCCTTAAGCCTGCTCCTGAGCAGGTTTAAGCTTATTTCATGTAAACAGGATTAGATTGCATCTTTCTAAGCAGAACTGATACTTAAAAGCTGTCCCAGCCACTGCTACTTTATTAGAAGAGTACCCTACTGATCCAGGGTAGTAATTTACAATAATAATAATTTAAAAATACAAATAATATTATAATGTGTAGTCATCATCTATATCACTATAGACACAGCCAGGTTTACTCGTTGAAAAATGTATTAGTGATGAAATATTTACTTTATAATTGTATTGGAGTCTTATACACATGCTATAACGTTAATCTGAGTCGTGCATTAATTTAAAGGGGTCATATGATGCGATTTCAAGTTTTGCTTTCTCTTTGGAGTGTTACAAGCTGATTGTGCATAGATAAGATCCCTGAAGTTGCAAAGACTAAAGTCTCAAAACCAAAGGAGATATTCTTTATCAAAGTTAAGACTCTGCCACGCCCCCCTAAAACGGCTCGTTCTAACACGCCCCCACATATCTACCTCACTATGTGGAAATATTTGCATAATGCGGCCCAAATGTGCACGCAAAGAAAGAAGGCGTGGTTTCAAAAACCGCAGTTAGTGTTGAAGCAACCATGTCAGAGAGACGCTGTGTGTTTCTAGGCGAACGCAAAAGCACTTTATTTGGCCTTCCGGAAGTAGATGCATTTAGGAATCTTTAAGATGACTTACAACAGAACAGCAATGCATTTTATGGACGACCGTTTCGTGAACCTAGGAGAGGAGGTCATTCTGAATTTGCTATGACAATCTGGCGCTTCTGAATCAGCTACCGTTTTGTTATTAGTTTAAGTATTTGCTATTGACTGTTCAAATGCGGAGTTTTGCGCATCGTGTGTGTGCAAGCGAGAGAGAGGGAGAGCGAGAGAGAGCGAGAGCGAGAGAGAGAGAGAGGGGGTCACATCACATCACAGTGGAGTCAGCTGTCTTAACCGTGGCTTGTGTACTGCAAACACATACCAGCTTCATCACTTTGTCTGTCACGCGACTCTGTTCCCATTTCTGGTTCTGTCTTTACATTTATTTTGAAAGATGAAGCTCGCGATTATGGTAAGGGGCGTTACATTTCCGACGAGTGCTTGTGGTGTTCGGCCAATCACAATGCACTGGGTCAGCTGGCCAATCAGAGCAGACTGCGCTTGTCGGAAGGCGGGACTTTGTAGAAAACGAAGCGTTTGAGAGAGGCGGGGCATAGAGGACCTACAATAATGTACAGTATTTGAAAAATAATGTGTTTTTTGAACATTAAAGTAGATGCAGATGCAGATAGCATGATCTTGACCCTTAAGAAACTTTAATTAACGCTGTCACTTAACAAATCTGCTTCAAAGATAAAATTAAATTAATTAATAATTACAACACTGAAATAAAAATGTAAAGCCTGTACAAATACTAAAAATCGTGAATATAAATAATTGGGAATCATGTAAAAAAATAAAAATAAATAAAAACAGTGCACATTTCATTTATCTATTATTACATTTATGTAGTTTTGTTCGCTTGGCTGTTTCCAGGAATTTGTCGGGTTTTTCGTCAGGTGTCTTTTTTAATTATATGATGTCTTTACGTTGCTGTCTTGCCGCCAGCCAATCGCTGCATTGCTGATCGTGGTCTCCAGTATCGATCGATACATCTGCCCTTTTCAGGGAACATGAGAATGCGTGCTATCCTTAGACAACTTAATCCAGATATTTTAATCAGATCCGCAAATTCGTTTGAAGAACCAAATTAGCCAGAGATCAGATATCATGATAACTAGATCTGGAATCTTTCAAATCATCTCAGATGTATTAAGCGAGGTACGAAGAACGGACCCCTGGTCTCTTGAACACCTAAGCATTACCTCGCTTTGGCACACAGTGCCTTGACTTCATTTTCCTTGATAAGTTCACAGCGTCTGAGTTGCTCAATCTGTCGGTCCAGGTCAGTGACGTCGCCCATCATGACACACATGCATACACATTCACAGAAATACTCCTCAATGTGAGGCTGATAAAACCCCTCTCACTGGCTCTCCAGTCCTCTGTTAGTCTCACAGAGACCACGAACACACTCAGCCTCCTGAGAAACAAAGAGACTATGAGGTTGTGCACATAATTACACACACCGAGATGATCCCGAAAGATGCCAAGATGAGAAAAGAACTGTAAAACAGAGACACACACACACACAAAAGAATCATCAGAAACTTCAATCATATGCAAGCTTGAAACTTACTTGAGACAAATCTGCCAGTGAGTCTTTCAGTGTATCAGTGAGTTTAATAATAATAATAATAAAAAAACTATTTCACAATAATATTTATATTAATATTGTTTGTAATTTAAATATTTATATTAAATAATACCATATATAATACAATATATAAATATAATCTTAATTTTTTTATCAGTTGGTAAGCTGTTACATTAATTTTAAATGAGAATTTCGGTGTTATTTTAAATATCATTACTACAAAAATACAACAAATTAAACTATTTTATTTATTCACTTTCTTGGACGCAACTTGTCCACCCACTTTGACGAACCCTTTGAGTATCTTACAATTTGATTACACAAATGATAATTTCTAATACATTTGCAAAGCCTGGATTACAAAAAAAAAAAGTAGGCACAAAGCGGTTAGCGTGAATGCTAGTCATGCTGTGCCGTGTTTGTTTGAGTTTTCTGCTTTTACGTCTAAAATAAGAATTGCATTTCACACGTTGGAATGTAAGTATAAATACATATTACATACCTTGGGCTTTGGATTAAATTCGTTTAGGCGTCCGTTGTTTGTTTTGTAGATGGTAAGTTGGTAAAGCGGCGTATGCAGGTGTGAGCGTCACATCAACAAGCCCGCGGCAACCGCTCGCCTCATCTTTCAAAATAAAGGCCCCTGTCGTTTAATTCGTAAAAAAAAGGGTTAGTGGAAAAATCTTGATCTGACAGAAAATGTTAAGATAGTTATACTGCCTGTCATGATGTAATTTATTAACAGTTTAAACCTTAAATGTGGGATACATGAGGATATTAGGCGTAATACATTACATACATGTACATCCCTTAGTTCAAGTTAATTTAATTTAATAGGACAATGTAACCACGTTAATGAAAGGTAAACCAAGAAAGATCTGTTTGTTCTCTTGGTCTCTTCCGGATGACTGTTACTATTTTGAAATGGAATGTCGTTTGAAATAGTGAGTCGGCTCTGAGAGTCGACTCTAATAAATGAAAAGGAGAAGATCATTCCTATAAATATAGTAGTTCAACAGTATATAAATGACTCTTTTGAGTGAACAACAAGATTCTGCTTCAGTCCGAGAGCCGTTTTCTAAGACGGCTCTCAGCGTTGTTTGTTTGTTTGTTTAACTTTCTTAATACAAGACAGAATAATAGGATTTTTTTAAAACATTTTTTGCCACACTGTTTGTTAGCCACGCGCACTTCTTGTACTGACTCATGCTGCTTTGCACAAACACACCAATAGAGTCAACACACCTGCACAATGTGACAGGGTTAAAGGGATAGTTCACCCAAAAATGAAAATGCTGTCATCATTTACTCACCCTCATGTCGTTCCAAACCTGTATGAGTTGCTTTGTTATGTTGAACACAAAAGAAGATATTTTGAAGATGGCTGGTAATCAAACAGTTGGTGGTTGCCGTTGACTTCCATAGTATTTTTTTTCCTACTATGGAAGTCAATGGCAACCACTGACTGTTTGATTACCAGCCATCTTCAAAATATATTCTTTTGTGTTCAACATAAGAAAGCAACTCATACAGGTTTGGAACGACATGAGGGTGAGTCTAATTGATGACAGAATTTTCATTTTTGGGTGAACTATCCCTTTAATAGATATAACAAACAACTGTGTTGAATGCTTCTGTTCTGCACACTGTAATTTAGTTTTTATCTGTTATATGGCACACCATGCTACATTTTGAATATGATTTGTTTATAATAGTTGTAATAAATGTGTTTTGGATAGTTCACTAGTGACTACCCTGACAGCACATATCCTGAAACCTCACATCTATTTAATGTCTGCATTTACATCTGCAAGATGTATTTTTTTAAGAGTGTTTGCACATCTATCAGATGTCTTGAAGATGTTTATATTTTAGAATGCATGTAAATCAGCTTTTTTTCCTAAGATGTTTATCAGATGTTTTTGCACAGTTTCATAGATCATGCACTCTTTAGCAGACATCTTAGAGATGTAACTGTGTGATCTGGGTAATAATGTTCTGTAACAGTGTTTTATGCTTTTACGTAAATTAGGTTTTTGGTTTTTATACTAAGAATAATGTAAAATTATGGTATTTCGGAAAGGTTTATGGAGCCAGAGGCTATAAACAATTTTAATTTGTGTAAATCTAAATTACAGACAAGTGTGATTTGACAAAACTGCATATTACATGGAATTTTATAGTGTTGAATTTAATTTTTTGAATGGTTTAGTTTACTTACTTTGAATAATGTAATTACATCTGTGCACACATACCAGACATAGGTCAAAACATTGACAAATTTGGCTGAATTATAAAAGCAAGAAGTGGTCCTAAATAAAGAGCCGTTTGGGAGCCGAAAGAGCCGGTTCTTTTTGCTGAGCCGAGCCAAATGATCCGGATCCCTAAAAAGAGCCGGAATTCCCATCACTAGTTTGAAAAGGCGCTTTTTCCTGTTTCGGAGTGTATGACGACACGGGCTGTGATTGGCCGAACCGGCGCAGCGAAAGACCTCCGTGTTATTTGGCGCCATTTGTCGAAAACAATTCACTACACTGAAACCTACATTATTAGCGAATATGCGCTCTCAACATTAGATTCAAATGCACTTCTGATTACATTAACACGTAAGGTGGGTTTGGGGATCGGTTATTATCACGTTATGTTTGTTTTTCGCCGGTTTTGGAGTGTGTATCGTTGTTTGGGAAATGTGTTGGTAGGCTTACTGTTTACGTAAACTCGTTGTTGTGCTCATATTTTGTGCACTGTACACTGTATATTTAGACTATGTATCAACGTGTCCCTCAAGGAAGGACAAGAACCGGTGAGTGTCTGAAATGATTATGCCTCTTCTACAAACTCATAGTTGACAGGTAAACATTTAATATTTGCAATTAAGGAGACATCATTCATTCAGAGTTTAACTGTCACTGTTATATGCACATTTTCATGGTGTAAATATTTTTAAATAATCTTTGAACAGAATGTGGCTTTGTTGTGTGTGCTTGTGTTTAAACTGGTCTAAAGTCCTTGGTTTTGTGTGTTAAATCTATACAGATCTTTAGTTTTTGGGGGTGAAACGATGGCTGGGGCCGTGGCTATGGCGTCTGTAATGGAAGATTTTGAGGGTCAGGTATGTGTCACAAAAAGCTGGTATGCTGATTTGGCAAAGTACTGATTTTCTATTCAAGGAACATTGAATGATTTTCAGCAGTTGACATTATTGCTCTGTTTCTCCAGCCGTGTAAGAAATTGAGGAAGGATGGTGATGCACCATCTGTCAAAACTATTACTAACTACTTTATGCCCAAGCTGGTGGAGAAACCGTTCTCACCACCACGGTCTAACAACATTATGGACTACTTTAAGAGGACCTCGCCTGCACAAGAAATAAAAAGCTGCCCTTTAGTAGCTAAAGAAAGCTCCCCGCAACCTTCAGAGCAAGTTAGTCAAGAAATCCCTGGTAAACCTATAAGAGGACAGGGACAGAAGCGAACCAGGAAGGCCAAAGACGGCAAGAAGGCCAAAGGGGAGGATGCACAGGTGGTCACAGATGACGTTGTCTTGATAGAAAGTCCCAGTGAATCAGCTGTAAATGAAAGCAATACTGCTGTCCTTCCAGCTCAAAACTCTGATAAAGAATCTGATGTGAGGAAAAATGCCACTGAGGGTGATCCAAATGTCCTGACGATTAAGAATTCTGCAGAAAGTTCTGAACAAAAATCCTTGTTAAAACAAAGCAGGAGGAAAGACTGTGCAAACAGAAAATCTGCTGTGAGGAGAAACCGAAAGGCAAAAGTTGGCTGTGAAGAAACTAAGGAATGTGATGCTGATGCTCAAGAGCCTGTATGTGAGACTAAATTGGAGGAAAGTGCAGATAAGAAAAGCAGCACCATCACAATCTCATTTAAAGACTTCCTGCAGAATCAAAGTCAAGAGCAGGAAGAGAGCAATGCGATTCCCAAGACTGACGCCACTGACACATCAAGTGAAGGCAACCTCTGTAATGATCAGAGTGATTCTGCAGTCGGTCCTTTACAGGTATCGCCCCGAACTCTCACGATTCAAGCTGAGGTGCATCCCATTTCCCCTGATCATCATGAGTCTGTCAAAGTTGCCAAGGAGTTAAAAGTTGCATCTATTTTTAGTAGAAATAAAAAAAGTCAATTAAAAGAGGACAAGAGTTTGTCTCATCCTATCCCAGAGGTTAAACCGGACGTATTGCCTGACCTCAAAAGGAAGTCTAACGTTGTTCTTCTAGAGGAAGATCTGGAACTTGATGTGGTGGAGTCCAGCCCCAATCCTAAAAGCACTGAGACAGAGAGAAAGCAGTTTATGAATGCCTTTAAGCAGCCTAGTCTTGATGGTTTTAAAAGCAAAACCAACAAGGGTCAGAGCAAGCAGAACCACGTTCACGAGAAAGTCCCGGAGGCAGCAGACAAAGAACACGAAAAATCTCTCGAGAACAAAACTGAAGAAAAATGTATTGAGGACAAAACTGAAGTGACCAGCTTGGAGCAGCATGAAGAACAGCAGAGCTGTCCTGGTGACAAAAAGAAGCGAGCTAGGAAGTCTGGGAAGAATGGGGAAGCTAAGAAAGCTGAAGATGCACAAGCTGCAACTCCGAAACCTGAAGAACCTCCCAAAGAGGTCGGCAATGAGAGTAGCCCAGCTGATAATTACAACAGTGAAAAGGCTGTCAGAGAGCTGAGGAGGTCGACCAGGGAGCTTTCACGAAGGCAGTTAGCCGCTGTGCTTAATACCGCACCACAGAAGAAAGAGAGGCAAGAGGACACAGTAAAAGATGATGAGACCCAAAATACACCCTCTCTGGCCTCTACCCCAAAAGCTCAAAGGCCCAAAAGGGGAATTTATAGAGCTGAAATGCTCTGCCCACCAGACATGAAAGGCAGCCCTATCAGGTGAGATTCACTTTATAATTTCCTACTTTAATTGTTTCTTGTGAAGTACATGAGACAATAAATCATCAATTTTATTCAATAGGATGAGAATCACCAAAGTATTTCTGTCCTCTGCTACAAAAGCTGGTGATTTTGAAATATCAAGTCCTCTCTCAACACAGGTAACTAACATTTATGATTGATGTATGTTATAAAAAAAGAATGCTATGTAATATTTTAACATTTTTCAAAAATACTTACATTGTGTATATAAGTGTTGTGTATGTAAGTGTTTTTATGTAATTATTTTGATAAGAAATTTGTAATCTAAATGAAATGATGTTTTATTAATAAAAATAAAAAACAATTGTCATTAGCCATTGTTTTAAAATGGAAGATTACTCACAAAAATTCTTATTTGTTAGGAATTAAATGCAGTTAAAAAAAGAAAACAAGCTAGGAAGCTGGTGCAGAAAGCCAAAGCTCTTCAGCAAAGTAAAAAAGACACTAATAAGGAGAAAGACACTGTACGACGTTCTTCAAGAAGCAAAGAGTCTGTCATAAATTACTGTGAAGATGAGGTAAGATAGTGGATGTGTTAGAAGTGAACTGGTGTAAATGTTTTATGCTTACAGGAACTGCTGCTAAAATTGAGCAGGTTATTCTTTCATTTATGTAATTTATATGTCATTTGTATAGGATTCTATAGTGTTTTTGGAGGACAGCAAAAGCACTCCAGTTACCTCACAGGAAAGTGATGAAAGCCAGAAAAACCTTCGTAGTTTGAATGAAGTTTTGGGTAAAAATAAAACATCCAAGACTCCTGCAGGTACGTTACACTGACACAAATGGTTAAAATTGAGTCAACACCTGCTTTAATATTATTTTTAATAATTAATTTCATTTTTGTGCCAACATGGAAATTGCATTCAAGTCATTAAAAAATGCATTGATGTCTTCATCTTTTTCAGCTTCTAAAGGGGCTCCTCTGTTTGGTGAAAAAAAAGCTCAGAGACTGTCGGTTATCATCTCCATTTTTGATGACAGCAGGTATTGTGCTAATAATTACAGACACTAATTGAATTGGAAAATGCTCGTTATTTCTTTCACTTTCTAGTCAGTGTTAAATTCTAATAAATGCCTGTCCCCACAAACTCAACCCTGTCAGTCGAGAGGCATCAGAGAACTCGCAAGATGATGAACAGTTCAGATCAAAGAGAGAGTTTCTGAAGAGCGGCCTTCCGGAGTCCTTCAAAAAGCAGATCGCAAAGACAGCAGCCAGTCGAGAGGTGTACAGCCAGGCCTGTGCTTCTTTCCAGACAGTGGTTCATATCCAGCAGCGGGCTGCAGGTAAGCTGACAGATGTTGTCTAGATTGTGTTCTCTATTTGTGTGTATTTGAAACTAATGTGCTAATTTCTGTCCATGTCAGATTGTTGTGTTTGGAACCTCCAGTGGCCTACGAATCCCTTCCTGAGTTGTTTGAAGGAGTCCTATAATTTACCATCTGTGCCACTGATGTCTTTGGAGAAGTCTTTAGGTTATACTACAGTTCCTGCTAAAAGAGCCTTTTGCCACCAGGTTGGTAATCTTTTGGTGAAAATTGTTAGATTTATGTGTTTTGCATTTTTTATTTAATACATTATCGTTCAAAAGTTTGGGGTCAGTAAAATATATTTTTTCCTGAATTAAATGAATCATTTTATTCAGTAAGGATGCATTAAATTGATCAAAAAGAAGTAACTTGTTTTTTTAATCATTTAGATGTCCTGTTGTCGAAGATCCGAGTTTTCTGAGACAATCAGGCAGCATCTTTTGGAGGAGATGAGACTCTCCAATCCCTCCTTCCCACATCAACGCTTTTTTACGCGGTTTGTTAAGAGACGCGAGGACTACATCCTCCAGTCCTCTGCTTCAGGTGACTGAAAAATGCAATTCAACTCAATTTTTTGTTTTCCTTGCAGTAAGATATTATTCTTAGGCAGAAATGCATTTATAATGAGACGTGTCTTCCAGAATGATTGACAGATTGTTTGCATATTTCTTTGATTTATATGATTATCTGTAGAACCTGAAGTTGAGTCTAAGGTGTCCTGCCCTGCTGGAACATCTGAGGGCGTCGGAAGGAAAAGGAAGCGTGTTGATGAAGGAGGGACAACAGGCAAAGTGGGTAAAAAACCAAAGTCCAATCCAGAAGGGGATGTCATAGTGATTGAAGAATGTCCACCATCAGGAGTTCAGGGAGCACAGAATGTCTCTGTCACTGTGCCGTCTGGCAGAAGTCGAAGAGGTCGATCACTGAGACTTAAGCAGAAAGAAGAGGCCAAGCCGGCAGAGTTGATCTCACCTGTGGGAAACCAGAGTGATGCTCTCATTATAAAGGATTCCCCTGTCCCAGAAAGTTCGAACACAGGAGGTGAAAATTAAATACCTTTTAAGACAATCTTTTCACACTCTGAAAAGTTTTCTTCCTCTCAAAGCCTGCCTGAAAATTTTTTTAACTACAGTAATTGATTAGCATTAGTTGTACAACAAACATGAATTTACAATGAACAATGTACAAAGGTTTGGGGTTTTTGAAAGTTTCTTATTCTCAAGGCTTATTTATTTGATTGAAAATACAATAAAATATATTATTACATTAAAATATTACAATTTCAAATGTTTTCTATTTGAATATATTCTAAAAGCCTGCCTGAAAATTTTTTTAACTACAGTAATTGATTAGCATTAGTTGTACAACAAACATGAATTTACAATGAACAAGTGTACAAAGGTTTGGGGTTTTTGAAAGTTTCTTATTCTCAAGGCTTATTTATTTGATTGAAAATACAATAAAATATATTATTACATTAAAATATTACAATTTCAAATGTTTTCTATTTGAATATATTCTAAAATGTAATTTATTCCTGTGTAAATTCTATTACTCCAGTCTTCAGTGTCACCTGATCCTTCAGAAATCACTCTAATATAATGATTTGCTGCTCAAGAAACATTATATATTACTATCAATATTAAAAACAGATGTGCTGCTTAATATTTTTGTGGAACCCAATCCCTTTTTTTAGGATTCTTTGATGAATAGAACATTCAAAAGAACAATATTTGAAATAATTTTTTTTAATAACATTACAAAAGTCTTTACTGTCACTATTGATCAAATTAATGCATCCTTGCTGAATAAAACTATTAATCTATTTAAAAGAAAATCTTGCTGACCCCAAACTTTTGGACGGTAGTGTATTTATAACATGGTTGGTAGTTCGTCCATTATACCTCATGAGTTGAACCTAAGGTGTTATGAAATAATGTTTCTTAAACTTGTTTGCACTACATGTTTGTTTTTTTGTAATGTGGTTGTTCATGTTTAAATTTCTAGATCGAGTGAAAGAGGATGTGATTTGGACAGAGAAATATCAGCCGCAACATTCCAGTGAAGTAATTGGGAATATGGAGTCTGTCCGGAGGCTACACAGGTTACTATGCTGTCTAGTTTAAACAAAGATGGTGAAAGATCCCATTCACTAATCGAACATGCCAGTAATGAATATTGAATGATTTTTTTTTCTGTTAAATTTCTTCTTATTTCAATTTGTTTAATACTGTTAGCTGGCTGAAAGAGTGGAAATTGAGAGCTGACCGGGAAGAGAAGAGGAAACAGCAGGAAAAGAAGCAAGAGGAGGACAGTAATGGTATGTAAAGATGCTAAATGGCACAGTACTAGCTGTTTTGCTTGCCATATTCAAAAATCATTGTCTCAACTTTATTTCTATCCAGACTCCTGGCTCATAGGAGAAGGTCTAGATGAGACCGAAGATCATATGTGTAACACTCTTCTTATTACTGGACCCACTGGAGTGGGCAAGACTGCTGCAGTCTATGCCTGTGCACAAGAACTTGGATTCAAGGTGTGGTTCATTTTTCAATTCACGTTACTATTTTGGGATTGTCTAGTGCCATTCTAAAAAGGAAAGTATTTCTTTCTCAAGGTATTTGAGGTGAACTCCTCGTCTCAAAGGAGTGGTCGTCAGATCTTATCCCAGCTGAAGGAAGCCACTCAGTCCCACCAGGTTGACATCCAGGGTGTCAGCGCTCAAAATCCATCATACTTCAGCAATTATAGCAGCAACAGCACCACTATCAAAGCCGGCTCCTCTCCCAGTATGAATTTTTTTCCCCTTGATGTTTACAGAAAAATATATACTGTGCATGACTTTTTGTTTGCGTTCTCAGTGTCTCTTCCAATCACAGGGAAGTTGAACTCCCCCAGAAGGGTTGTATCATCGCCCAGGAAGCCTCCTCTGTCCCCTCGAATGGCTCCATCCAGAAGAGGCTTGGCTCCGACATCTCTAGCCAATTTCTTCAAAGCAGGTGGAAGGCCCACTGGCAAAGATGCAAACAGTCAAGACAAGAAAACACAACCTGGTAATAATTCAAAATGCAGTAATCAAAGTCAAGTGTTGCCAAACACAAATATTGAATTGATATTGAGATTTACAGTGGGGAAAAAAAGTATTTAGTCAGCCACCAATTGTGCAAGTTCTCCCACTTAAAAAGATGAGAGAGGCCTGTAATTTTCATCATAGGTATACCTCAACTATGAGAGACAAAATGAGAAAAAAAAATCCAGAAAATCACATTGTAGGATTTTTAAAGAATTTGCCATATTTACAAAATTGTTTTCATGCTTCATGTTTGAGACCTTTCTATGGCATTTCTTGTTTTCTTTCTACATGCTAATTTAGTGCTCAAGTAACATTTCCTATTATTATCAATGTTGAATAATAGTTGTTCTGCTTAATATTTTTGTGGAAACCTTGATACTTTTTTCCGCTGTATCCTATGATGAATATAATTTCAAAAGAACAGTATTTATTTACTGTTAATACTATGTATTTATTTATATATTTTTTGAAAATTGTTTTCAAGTTTCATGTTTGAGACCTTTTATATGGCATCTTGTTTTCTTTTAGTCTTAAAAGCAGGTCGGAAAAAGTCTGCCGAAGCAAAAGAGGCTGACAGCAAAGAGTGCCCCATTGGAACATCAGCGGGCACCAAGATCTCCGCTGAAGACCAGGACAAGAGGACTGCCACATCCCTCATCTTATTCGAAGAGGTGGACATCATATTTGATGATGACTCTGGATTTTTGGCTGCAATTAAAAACTTCATGTCTACAACTAAGAGACCAGTTATTCTAACAACCAGTGGTGAGTAAAGTTGGCAGAGAACAGAAAGTTAGAGTGTGTGATATCTGAATGAGTCATCTTGGGACTTTTTTTTGCACAGATTCAAACTTTGGTGCTACATTTGATGGGTGCTTTGAGGAAATCCATTTCAAATCTCCTTCAGTGGTAAGTGCACTTAGTTTATTTTCTCCTTTGCCAAAAAAATAGTTACTCTTCTGTTGTGTCTGGTTTGTGACCGTCAACACTTTGGACTTTTCCAGGCAGATGTGTCCAGTTATCTCCAGCTGCTGTGTCTGGCAGAAAACATGAGAACAGATACTAAGGATCTGTCCTGTCTGCTGGACTGGAACAGGTGTGATGTTCGTCAAAGCCTCCTGCACCTGCAGTTCTGGGCCTGCAGTGGAGGTGGACAGCAGGTGAATCGGCCTTGGCTTTTCTCAGGTAAAGATGTAATTGACTCTGGAAAAAGTTCACTGAGAACTCTTGGTTGTATATCATAATATGTGAATATACTTAGCAAAAACTACTTGTTTCACACTGTAGAGCTCAAAGGGGACGTCAAGAGTGACATTGACCATCAGTCTGTCAAAGCTCAGGATGTAAATGAGCATGAAATACCACCCTGCCACACTGCATGCACAGAGTGTTTGCTGGGGATCCGAAATATGCAAACAGAAAATATTGCAGATTTGCTGCTAAAGGTGAGTGTTTATCTCCTAAGATAAAAAAAAGCCACTAATGTTATTTATTTATTTTTAAAATATTATATGAGGTGATTTCAAGTTTTCCTTTCTCTTTGGAGTGTTACAAGCTGATTGTGCATAGATAAGATCCCTGAAGTTGCAAAGACTAAAGTCTCAAAACCAAAGAGATATTCTTTATCAAAGTTAAGACTCTGCCACGCCCCCCTAAAACGGCTCGTTCTAACACGCCCCCACATATCTACCTCACTATGTGGAAATATTTGCATAATGCCGCCCAAATGTGCACGCAAAGAAAGAAGGCGTGGTTTCAGTAACCGCAGTTAGTGTTGAAGCAGCATGTCAGGGAGACGCTGTGTGTTTCAGTGCGAAAGCAAAAGCACTTTATTTGGCCTTCCGAAAGTAGATGCATTTAGGAATCTTTAAGATCACTTACAACAGAACAGCAATGCATTTTATGGACGACCGTTTCGTGAACCTAGGAGAGGAGGTCATTCTGACTTTGCTATGACAAGCTGGCGCTTCTGAATCAGCTACTGTTTTGTTATTAGTTTAAGTATTTGCTACTGACTGCTTGATTAAGTCATATTTTGATTCATAAAAATCTTCTACAAGACCAGTATGCTCAATAAAGCCCAGGAGTCAAATTCAAAGTTCAGTCAGTTGACAGAGAGTTTACTGAATACAGAGTAAATGAGTAAGAGTAGCCAGCATCAAACTAACTTACAATACAGAAACTAGGACTGGGCGATATAGCTAAAAAAATTACACAATATAATGTTTCATGTCATTCGGTACCGATAATTATTGAAAATGTTTTATAACCTTTCTTAAACAAAGCAGTAGAATTTTTTTTATTTATTTTTTTTTTATTTAACCACTGTAATTTGATTTATCCAATTTATTAAGACAAACAACAACTTATTTTAGTTTTAACAGTCAAACACAAAATAAAATTGAAACAAATATCTCCTTTCTTATATTTTATATGCAGATTAAATAAGTGTTAAGGAAACATTTGACCTGTCTCCTGAGGACAGAGGAGGGTGCAATGAGCAAAATAATGCACCTTGTTAAACTGTTTATTCAGTGCAGTGAAATAATAGCTGTCTATAAAAAAAAAGTGCATACTGTCTAGACTTATATTGATAAACCAAATTTAATTTCGTAAATTGCATAATTATGAACAAAACAGCATCATGTATTTATGCATAGCTTAATATGGCACATCTTGTGGGTTCAACTTGGACTAACAAAAATATTAAAATGCATCTACGACACTTAATAACCGCATCTCGTGCGCCACATATAAGTAGGGCTGTGTATCACCAGCAAAGTCACGATACGATACGTATCACGATACGTATCACGATACATGACTGCACTGAATTTCACCTCAGCAGAATTTAGAAAAACAGCTGTTTATTAAACACTGCTTACTATAGTGCCATTGCTAACTATTGGCAGAGCAGGCAGATGCCCTCTGCATTATGAAGGGCCTCCATAACTGTACCACAGTACAATATAGGTAATGGCATATGTTTCATGTTTACATTGTGCACTCCCCACCAGGTACAATATTCTGATTGTTTGCATCTTGTTTTTAAGCCCATAAATAATAATGTACTTGTTCTAATAAATTTATATTGTAATGTACTCATTCTAATATATTTAAAAAATCATTTACATTGCTGGTAGGTTATCATTGCAAAAATTAACACACTCTCTACAATAAAAAAAAAAAAATTAGAACAGTTCTAAACTAACATGCTGTCTTCACTGTATCAAACGCACACACGCTCGAGGCTGATTTAATCGCTAAACTGCAAGCTAACTGCTGTTTTCAGAAAGCAAGCGCGTTTATCCAGAGTGGAGAGAGAGCGCATGCACATGAATGAATGAATGATGCATTTATATAGCGCTTTCTTGTGTATTGCTATACACCCAAAGCGCTTTACAATCATGTGGGGGGGGTCTCTCCTCAACCACCACCAGTTGGTTGCCAGGTTGACAAAGATAAGTAGCACACTTAGCAGATATTTCCGTATTGTGCAAGTGTGAAGCTCTGTTTTGGGGATTACATCTCTTTATATCAGGCAACCCCGTTGTGTTCCTCTGCGGCCAGATTATTAACAGATGCTCTATTCATTCTTTTTTAGAAACCTTGCACTTTTCTACTCAATTTTAAACATTGTAAAATTAAGCGCGGTCCACTGCTGCACACGTGCCACAATATCGATACAGGGCCATCTGTGACGATACATCGTCGTATCGATATTTTGAACACAGCACTACTGATAAGGCTCCCTGACGCGCACCTAAAATTCAAAAACTCAGTTTTTGCATTCAAATGCAAATGTTTTTTTTTTTATTCAACTAATATTCCTTTTTTTGATTCAGTCTCCTCATCGCAGGCAGGCACGGCACTCCTGTGTTTGTGTGTTCTGTTGGCTGTCTTCTTGTCACTCATAACACGCCTTTAAATGAAAAAAGCATGAAATTATCGTGCGCTATATCGAACATTTTTCTTTCATTATCGATGATGGTGTACTGTCGATAAATACCGATACCGTTTTATCGGCCAGGCCTAACAGAAACACTAGTACTTCTAGTCATATGGATGATCTGTTGATGTCATTTCTACAGGTTCTGATAGGTACAAATAATTCTAGCAACATCCAACATGGTGTTCTTTTCTTGAAGTCATAAATCTTGTGAGGGCAATTCTCATCTGGGCAGCTGTTGATGCTCCTGGAGACTGTTCCTTTGGCATGGTCACATGCCTACCATATTCCTAAACAACCTCTGCAAATACGCCATTAGATAAAACATTAGATAGGCAATATCTTTTCCCTTCAAGGTTGAGCTGCAGCACATCATTGGAACAGAACAATACATTCACACGGAGCACAGAGCACTAATACAAACTTCTACACATGATTCATTGACTACTTTACATGGACATCAGTAATCTAATTATTTACCTTATTCTAAATAAGCCAATATTATGATTATGGTGTTTACATGAGTTTCTTTTAGACTATTCCTTTCATGTTCCTGTTTTACATGTTATAGTACATAGTTCGATTAATGGCGCCCGTCATTACGTCCCACGTGACGCCATCCGACGTCCCCTCCAGAATTTCACGCATAAACGTATAGTTCATCTTTGTGATGATGTCATGTACAGTTTTGGGTGTTTCATTTTTAATTTTATGAAAGCTTCAAGTGCAGTTAATTATTTGTAGGTGCATACAGACGATGGCGGTGTTCAAGCTCTTTTATTTGCCGTCAAAAGGTTGACTACTGCTGTGTGTTTATCCTGTCGCAAAATGCGGTGAAAAGTCCTACACGACGGTAATAATGTGATAAGGTGTTTACATGTCTATACTGCACTTCAGTAATGCGACTAAAATAGGAATACTCCACATGTCTTAATTTCTATTTCTGTTTACTTAGAATATGACTTTAGCCGGATTAAGGTAATCAAAAATCTCTATAAACGCGGCAAAACGGTGGTAATTCATGGTGGTAATAATGTGATATAAGGTGTTTACATGTCTATACTGCACTTCAGTAATGCGACTAAAATAGGAATACTCCACATGTCTTAATTTCTATTTCTGTTTACTTAGAATATGACTTTAGCCGGATTAAGGTAATCAAAAATCTCTAACTTAATCAGAGTATTGTCTTAATCGTATTAAAATCGAATTATTGTTGTCCATGTAAACGTACTCATTGTCTTAGTTTAGCATATAGCAATTAATGGTCCTATAAACCCTAAAAAGAACCATAAACATTAAGTATACATAAGAGTTAGTGAATGCATGTGGTGAGAAACACACAATAAAATGCTGAAGAACAAAGTTCAAAATGATAACACTTTTTCTATAAAATATAACATTTGATTATTTAATGATTCAGATGAATTATTACAAAACAAATACATATATATTTTCTGGAAGCTGGGCTAAATGAGTAAACACTGTTAATGCATTCCTGACATTCAAGACCTTCAGTCACCTCTCAGATACCAAATACAGATAATGCTTGTAACATTAAAAATGCTTGTATTTTTTTTAAAAAAGACTGTAATATTGGTACAATAATTTGTTCCTGATCGAGCTATTCATTTCTTACAGCATGAGTGTTCAGTACTAGACAGCATTAAGTGCTGGGATCTTCTCTCAGAGGTCCATAGAAGGGGAGGGAATCTTCTCTACTCGAATATGGAGAGTCTGCTTCCTCTGCCAACTCGTCTTTTACCACAGTCCACACTTAAATCACAACCAAGACCAAACCCACAGTCCCATCCTGAGCAAGTACCTCAGACAGTGAGGTTGGAGGTTTTGGAAGAGCCCTCTGATGACGGTAGTCCCCTTAAAGTGTCCTCCAGAATGAGGGGGCGGAAAAAGATGGGCATGAGCAATAAAGACGTTTTCCAGTCTGATTCAGAGTCCGAGGATGACTTCCTCTCACTGCCAAAAATCAGCCGAGCTCCTGCTCAAAGCACTATTTCGGAACCAGCTAATATGTCCGTGAATGTGTGCGAAGCTGCATCGATGAAACCAAGGCATGTTGTGTTATCTGAAGCTGAAAGGAAGAAGAGCAAGCCAGTGATGCAGTGCCTAAGCAGTTTAGCAGAGTATATGGACCACATGTCTTTCCTGGACTCCACACTGCGCTACCAGCCTTTGCAAACGGAGGGTTCCTGCAGACCACAGGACTTTGGCTGGACTGGTGCAGAGGTCAAGAGTGGGATGACCGATGACATTCGGTTAGAGTGTGTCAGCCGAGTAAATGGTGTTAATGTCAATGAAATCCATGCTGCATTGGGGCATTTGAGTTTTAGGAAGTGCAAGGCTGTAGTCTCCGAAGCCTGGGACAGAGCACAGCAACTGGAGGAGGAGATCAGAAGAGAGGCAGAGGAGGAGCTCACCCTCCCTGTGGCTCCACACAAAGATGGCTTCAGCCTCACTCAAACTACACCTTGTGACCCAAGGTGAGAATTCAGCTGCTCTATATTTTTTTTCTTTAATTTATACCCCATATAATCTAACCTTTTCATTATTTATATATATATATATATATATATATATATATGTGTGTGTGTGCGCGCATAATTTATTATGCAAGTTGATATTCTGGTCATATTTTTTTTCTTTTCCAAGCACATTTTACCAATTCCAAACCACATCAATCTCAATAACTAGTATTTTGCATTTAATCATTTATAAGTGATATGTAATTGTTAACAAGGGCTGGAAGTGAAAAATGCCTTATACTCAGGTGTGCATAATTATAAAGCAGGTTTTCTTTTATGGGTAAAATGAGCCAAAAAAGAGATTTAATTCACACTGAAAAGTAGGGATGTAACGATTCACTCAACTCATGATTCGATTCACGATTTTGATTTCACGATTCGATTCACAAATTTATTTATTTTTTATAACAAAATTAGATTTAAGACAAATTATAAATTAAATGTGTCCTTTTATTATTGCTTGGACAAAATGCTGCACATTTCTTTGTGAAATTGAAATATAACACTATAATAATATACTAATATAGCACTTGCATATTACTGCTCTTTTGTTGGTTTTGATTGCTTCTATTGTCCTCATTTGTAAGTCGCTTTGGACAAAAGCGTCTGCTAAATGACAAAATTTTAATATAATGTAAATGTAAATAACAAAACTACATTGAAATTTTAAAACAAGCCCCAAATCAAATAAATAAGTAACACAAAATAAATCTCTTCATATAAACAAACTAAGGCTTTGTCTGTGCTCTTTCCTTTTAAAATTAGAGGCAACCACTGCATTTTAATCACGATCCAAACAAAGATGCTGCATACATGCAACATGAGCAGTTTTTAATCTAAATTAGATTGTATAATTTTGAAATTTGAAGCAAAAACAGAATGGTTTGACCAGTTTTATGAAAATGTACATAAAAATATCTGCATGAAACAGCAGAACTGAATCTGCCAGCAGGTGGCGCTTAAAGCATTTCCTTGGTTTCCGCTGTAAAAAAAAGCAGCGCTGCACTTATGAACTTTAATATGCATTATACAGAGACAAGATGAAAAGAAAAAATACCATCTAAACTTTTCTAAAGACAGTAAGTTCCCCTCAGACATGCATTCATATAAACTCCTACACCTAAATGAATCGATATTTGTTTAGCATCTCAACCAATTTGAATTGTCACATATTTGAATCGATTTCAACAGGCTCGCGGTTAATCGTTACATCCCTACTGAAAAGTCAAACATTATTAAATGTCAATGAGAAATATTCAAAACAAAGCAATACAGAAATTGCAAAGTTAAATCAAGGCTCGCGGTTAATCGTTACATCCCTACTGAAAAGTCAAACATTTATTAAATGTCAATGAGAAATATTCAAAACAAAGCAATACAGAAATTGCAAAGTTAAATCATGACCACTGGACAGTGAAATGCTCAATAACAATTTTATATCACTCATAAATGGTTAAATACAAAGATAATAGTAGCTATTAATATTGACTACTGTAAAATAAAACATAATCTTGTGCTCCTTTTGTTTCGTACAGGGTGATGGAGAGGAGAAGTGAGGTGATGAAGTCGGTGCTCTCCTCCAGGTCAGCAGGAACGCTTGGAAACCAGGTAGCAGCAGCTCTGGACTACCTCCCCTCTCTACGTACCATCTGTAGGTCAGAGAGACTGAAGGAGCAGGGAAAGATCAAACGCAGGTGAGAGTCTAGCTATATTAATGCATTAATATGATCAAGCTGTTCCTGCATCTGAAATGGGCGTTAGGGCTTGATCAGTCAAGAGGTGTGGGAACTCTGTGGCAAGCAAAATTAATTTAAACATTTGACTTCGAGATATTGGTTTAAATAGGCTCATAAGGTGGTCAAGAGTGTACACCAGACGGAAATGTTCATAGATGTATTAAAAACACAAGAATTTCTCTTTAATGTTCTCCTCATAACTGCTAATGCAAAACACACCCTTGTTTGTGAACAGTCTCTATCTTTTGTTACGCTCCCAAAGTGAGATCACTTCCAGTAATTCAGATGCCACACAGAGTTCGAACAGTGACAAGGGAAACTCCCTTTCCACAGTAGGCACAATTCACTAGTTAAGATTGCACACACTATATTTACATTAGACAAATAAGTCAGAACAAAAACAACGGTCAATAATTTCATAAATATTCAAAGATAATAGTAGCTATTAATATTGACTACTGTAAAATAAAACATAATCTTGTGCTCCTTTTGTTTCGTACAGGGTGATGGAGAGGAGAAGTGAGGTGATGAAGTCGGTGCTCTCCTCCAGGTCAGCTGGAACGCTTGGAAACCAGGCAGCAGCAGCTCTGGACTACCTCCCCTCTCTACGTACCATCTGTAGGTCAGAGAGACTGAAGGAGCAGGGAAAGATCAAACGCAGGTGAGAGTCTAGAGGACCAGCCTATATTAATGCATTAATATGATCAAGCTGTTCCTGCTTCTGAAATGGGCGTTAGGGCTTGATCAGTCAAGAGGTGTGGGAACTCTGTGGCAAGCAAAATTAATTTAAACATTTGACTTCGAGATATTTGTTTAAATAGTCTGGTGTACACTCTTGACAACCTTATGAGCCTGAAATGTTCATAGATGTATTAAAAACACAAGAATTTCTCTTTAATGTTCTCCTCATAACTGCTAATGCAAAACACACCCTTGTTTGTGAACAGTCTCTATCTTTTGTTACGCTCCCAAAGTGAGATCACTTCCAGTAATTCAGATGCCACACAGAGTTCGAACAGTGACAAGGGAAACTCCCTTTCCACAGTAGGCACAATTCACTAGTTAAGATTGCACACACTATATTTACATTAGACAAATAAGTCAGAACAAAAACAACGGTCAATAATTTCATAAATATTTAGGGCTGCAGCAAACGATTATTTTGATAATCGGTTAATCTAATGATTATTAGAACGATTAATCAACTAATCATCGATTATTTCACTGATTAATCAGACATTTATTGATTATTCAGCTTTTGCAATTAGTTAAGATATTTAGTTATACATATTCTAACAAATAAATTAAGGTAATCACTTCAGTTTTTGAAATAAATTACAATTATACAATTAATTTATACAAATAAGTATATATATTTGAAACATATATTTGAAACTCTTATTCACCATTTAATTAGCTATATGAAAAAGTCACTGAATGACATCATTCTGCCTGACATCTCCTTTTGTAAGTCATGGATAAGAAACAAAATAAAGGTAAATGATAAGACGTTTTATTTTTTGATAAACTATTTTATTCATAACATAATCACTCTTAAAATACCTAATAGGGTTATGATAATCAAAACAGTCCTGAGCTAGATCAAGTTTTGATCTCTGCAAACCAAACTATAACTTTAATGAAATATTTTTTTCCCACTAATAAAAATATTTGATCATTAGCTAGCCCCACACTGGAGAGCTGCGTTATAACAGAAAATCAAGTTGTAATTCTAATTGTAAGCGACACTGACTCTGTAAAGCTGCTTGATTTAAGGCTATCTATTGCATAAAGTACTAAGTTATATAAATAAACGTGACGTGACTGGACTTTACTGGAGTACTGAACTGCAGAGCTCGTGCAAACATCCACATCGCTGTAATCAGATGCGTTTTTAACTGCTGCGGTCAGTTTTTGTTGTGTTTATTTTGGTATTGAGAGGAAAGCGTGCAGCATATATTTACATATTCATCCAAACGCCACTCAGCAGCCTCAGGTTTGGCTGCGTTTGCGCTGAACTGAAGCGCTGTGTCTTCTCTTGAATTGCATCCAGGAGAGCTGAATTACTGTCTTGTGCTACCACGGCACACTGGTCAAACCGCATTACTGCAGGCTCTTACATTTGGTCATACGAGATCAAACGACTACTCGACAACAAAAAGATTTGTCGACTAATTGTTTCAGCCCTATAAATATAGCATCTCATAAATATGTGTTCAGTACCTGATGCATGTTTTTCGTTGTGCTGTCAGGGAGGTGTGAAAATGCAACTTAGTCATAGTTCATGGGTCTAAAAAAAGCTAAATGCAGTGGAGGGACAGGATGTGGCTTTTGCAAAGCTTAAATTAACCGATGATGTTTTATTCTCATTTTTGTCAGTATGAGTCTTTTGCATTTTATCACCATTTGTTTTGTTTGAAATGAACACATTCACTTGCTTTGTAGTGCCAAAACTAATTTAAAGATCCACGTTTAACAAAATAATCAGTGTTGGTTCCCCCCCCCCCCCCCCCCCCCCCC